CAGTGAGCAGAACCTGAGTGCAGGTGGCCTTCAAAGAGCTGCTCAGCATCTGGAAACGTGGGCAGTATTGGTGGTAGGTGAACAGTTGGACTAGATGATCTTAAAGGTCTTTTCCAAACTTAATGATTTTGTGATTCTATGAAAGGCTGTGTGCACTTAGAAAAGTGCCTTTGAGACTTCATTTTTCCAAAAAGAACAGCAAATCTATAGACTGCGAACATCAATTCTCTCACCATCAAAGGGAAAAATGATTTATTGTCTAGAAGGATGGTAACAGAAAGAAATGCTTTCAGATTACTAGATGGTTATATACGAGAGGAAAAGAATTCAATATGAGGTTTTATGTACGAGGAAAAATCCATCAAGGCCTGGTCTTGTTCCATCCACTTCTGCAGCCCTCTGCCAGCACTTTCAGGGGCAGAAGGATGGTGCCTCCTACCTGTAAGGAAAGACTGACAGCTAATGTGGGCGGATTGCAAGTGAAATGACCAAACAATAAACGTAAGTCCCTTGAGTGGGCTAATTCCTCACATCTGCTGCTTTTGCCATCTTTTGAGATATTTAACATTGCAGCAGCAGCTGGGGGCCAGCTCTGGTGCTCACTGGCACCAGGAAAGAGTTTTAAACAAAGGCACTGTTCTGTTGCTGCAGACAGCCGGAGCTACCTTCCTCCCAAGAGCTGCTGTCTGGCTTATCAAGATGGGTCAGACAGGTTTCAGTGGCATGCTGCTGCTCTCCAGCCATGCTCTGTCCTCAGGCAGGTAATTTATCTGGTCTGTGCACCACTTTTCCCTTCTGTTGAACAGAGGAATTGAATTTTACCTTATAGGGGCATGCTGTGAAGCCACAGAGTTTTAAGGCTGACAGGAGCAGACCTAATAAAGGGGGAATGTATGCAGCCCTTCAGGCAGCCAGGCATCAGGTGCGTGTCGCAGGGCTCTGCCTTCATAGGACGTTTTGTAAATGTGCCCAGAGGGCATTCAAAATAGAGACACATCTTAGTAAAATTAAATGTGAGATTAGATCGTTCTCAAAGTCATAAATGTAAGAGTTCTGAATTAGGAGAGCTTTCAAATCGAAAAGCTACACAATTAGGTCAGACAGGCTCAGCTCCCACCAGCAGCCACTGTCACCATGACAGTGCTCCAGCTGCAGCACTTCTCACCCTGCCCATGACACTGTGCTGCCATGCCACCATGTCATCATGCCACCATGCTTCTGTTCCACCATGCCACAGAACTATGATGCTGCCATGTCACCACATCAGTACCCATGGGAGTTAGTGGCACACAGTGCCACACAGCGGAGCCTCCCTCCAAAGGGAGATGTAGGCTGCAAAAGTTCAGGCAGAGCAGATACAGGGCAGTACTGAGCCCATGCCGTTCTGGTGCTGTGGTTTGCATGCCCGAGGAATCCTGGGGGCTGCTGACTGTAGCCACTCTGGCTGTGCAGGGTCACCATCTGTGCTGCTTTCGCTCCTCTGGGCTCACCAGTGACAAAGTGCTCTCTTAAATGCTGTGTCCCCAAAAGTCATTTGTAGCAGTTTCTTAGGCAGCTTTGCTTGCCAAAACATTACTTGTGTCAATTAGGCCTTTTTGTCTGCTTGATATGCTGGAAAATGCACATTTTTCTACTTCTTTTCTTTTTTTTGTTGTTGTATTTACTCAAGATGAAAGCCAGATGTTATATTAATAAGAGAACTGCTTTTCCTAAAGGGAAACATTCATCAGTGCAGCAGCAGACATTGTAGTTTTGCTGTGAATTGCTTAAATTCCTCCTTTTTTTCATCTGAACAGGAAGTCCAAGAAGATGTATTTGAAAGCAGTAGTATTGTGACTGCAGAACAAAAGCCGTTTACCCTTTAAAAGCTGGTTAATAGGGATTTGAACGGACCAAAGTTTAAAACTGTTTAAATATGAAGGCAAGAATAATATTGAAAAAATAATAAAAAAGAATGTTTGGATACTTCACATAGTATATACTTCTTAGAGACAAGAAGAGCGTTGTTATCCAAAACACCCAAACTTCTCATGCAGCCAAGTTAACAGTTTGGAAATATTCTTCCTAAGTATAAACTATGATGTTTATTACTTAAATAAGTAAGGTATATGTCACAGATTGATAATATCACATGCTCTTAAAAACAATCATAATACCTCACCAGGCTTTGGAAAAACTGTTAAAAGATCTAACAGAATTCCCTGCACAGAATTTTATATTCTCATTATTGAATATTTCCATTATGCCATTGTGGGAATATTTTAAGAAGTAATATAACGTGTTGGAATATAAAGAAGAAGAATAGTGTAGCTATTTTGCAAAATATGTTCCAGTTGAATGAGCTAATTAGCTTTTAATAATGAGACTCAGCCAATGGATTTTCAAAGCATGCTACTGGGGCTTAATGATTTCAAAAGCTATCACATTTACAAGTTAATGTACCGTAAATTATTCATAAGCATCTTATAAATAAGTGTAATAAGTTACTTCCAAGGCTAGTGTTGCTTTAAAATAAGGTTCTTCTGAAAAGTGCCTTTAGAAAGAGCTTTGTAGGAACCCATTTACTACCTCTGATTTTCAGATGAAAATCTGTGTTTGGAATCAGATCATTCACCAGCCCAGACCTCCTTCAGTCCACGTCTCTGTTAAGCGCTGACAATCCCCAGGGTTTAGGAGAAAGCAGAGATATCAGAGGCACTCAGCATGATGCTGACCGTCTCTGATTTCCTCTTGCAGTGGCATCCAGTGAGGCTACTGGAGCCAGAGAAGCTTCCTGTCCAGAAGCAGTTCTGTTCTCTTTGGCAAAGCAGCTGCTTGCGGCACGCAGAAATGAATCAGAAGCCATCTGAGCAGGGTGCTGCTGCCCCACGCTGTGAGCAGCCCTCGCCCTGCCACATCCCCAGCCCTCTATCAGCCTCCCTAGAGATGCAGGGCTGTCAGCAACATGCTTGCCGACCCTTTACAACTTCCAGCTCCTCTGGCAGGTCAGACTACCTTCACTAAGACACAGAGTGATGGTGAAAAATCTGTGCATTTGAAGAACTGGACAAAATCTACCTGAATCATGCACTGTCCCTTTATCTCTTGTAGAACAGCAGAGTTTCAGTAGTAAAAGGTGAATCTAGCTTAGGAGTCTGAAATAGTAATTTAGGGGAAAGGTTGGTTGTTTTTATGGTTTTTACATTTCTAAATACCTACTGCCGTTGTCATGCTTGTCCTGATTCAAAGGACTGCAGTTGCTGACAGAAAGAGAACTTTGGCTGCAGATGTTCAGGGGAGAGTTCCTATCACCTGTGGATGCTTTTCTTCAGTGGTTAGAATAGCTGTTTTGGTTCCCTAAGAAACTGCTTTAATTAATGAGAATATTTGAAAGTCACACCTTCTAGTGTAATGCTTCTGTCAAAAATAGCGTTTTAAGCAAAAAAAAAAGAAGTGTTCCAGCAGAATTTTTTTATTTTATATACAGTACATCAATCTGCAAATTGTAATCCCTGCTTAAAACCAACAAATAAACAGACAGTGAGATAAAGAAAGAGCATTGCAGTCCCTGTTTAATTGCCTGCCTGAGACATATCTTGGCAGTGTTCCTGATGATGTTCCTGTTGTTTATCATCTTACGGATGATATTGTAAACATTTTCAGCACTTTGTTGTTTCTGTTATTAGTAATATGTTGCGTCTTGGAAGACAGAAAACTACAATTTCCTGCAGAAATGCAGCCTTTCAGAAGACCTCAGCTGACATTATTTAGGATTGTTTTAATTTTGCTAGGTTTTCTTTAGTTTTGAGCTTACAGCAAAATGTCTCAAGCTTTTGAAGGAATTATGTGGTCCTCTTCATATTTCTGATTTAAATAATTAGCTCCAAATTGCATTTTTAAAGGATAGAAGAAACAGTTGACTTCACAATTGCTTGCTGATGGCTAGAGAGTATTGTATTTTCTCTTGAAAAAGTAACTTGGTGAGATGTATTTATATCATCTGGAAATAGTGTGGGTGGAGATACTTGATGAACCATGTTGCTCTCATTCAGTTGTCACACGGAGAAGCTTTTTGGTACAAATTCAAATGAGCAGAGGTTCATTGGATGTATTGAACTCAATCTTAAATACCTACAACAGTTACCTTTGCACAACAAAAGACAACAAGCTGGAATCAGTGGAGTTCCACCAAAATATGTGCCACTTAGAGTAGAGCTTTTCTGTGCAGGGGTCAGCTCAGGAGCATGGAATAACTCCTCAGGAGACACAAATTATTATCAGTGGGCTCTACAGCCATCCGTAGTTGGTTCAAGCTGCATTTTAGCATTGCTAAAACCATGCATGTGTAGCAATCAAAACAGTCTGGGAGTATCAGCAAGAAGATATGTAGACAGAAAAGATCACACATATATGAGTTACGTGAGCACAGGTACACACCACACATATACACATTCCTTTGGTAGTAGTCCAAAGTGCCTAATCAGAGAGAAAGGCAATAAAACGGTGCTTTTCAGAGGGGAAAGAGGTTTCTGTGGATGAAACTGCCACTCAGGCATCTTCCCTGTGCTCACCTCAATGTTGCTCATCCACAAGGTTAAAATTTCATCTTGCAGCAATAGCAGGCAAATCAGAGGGGATAGTGAGGCTGCAGGATGAATGCCAGCATTTAAAATGCTTCTGTACATTTGTTTAGGGGAATGAAGAAATGTTCAGTGCATACTCCTCCAAAAACACGGATATCTGGTGCTCTGCAAATGTTCTAGCTCCCCATATGCTGGACAGTAAAGCTCTGGTTCCAAAAACCAGTTATTGTGATTTACTTACAGGTTTCATAGAAACCCAGCTTCACAACCAGTATCAAGGTCCTTGAGGAAAAGCAAAGGAGCGCTGACAGTATTTGCATATACCTAACAATAGTTTCCATAGACATCCCATACGCAGATGGAAAAACAAAAAAGAAAAAAAATGAGTTTGGCAAGCATAATTTAACATATTTAATTTACAAAATGTTAAGGAAAAGCCACGTTTTTATGGATTTTATTGAGTTCTGTTTTTCTCCTTCTTTAATTTATTAGACATTTTAAAATGGTTAGGGTTTACAAGTGGTTCCATCAAGCCCCATCCGGGCAATGAATTCATAAGTTTTCAGTCAAGTGAAGAACGAATGAGCCATGTCAGCAAGGCGTTCTGCTAACAGGAACCAGGTGGTGCTTGACACAATCTCTGTGAGTAATGCGTCATCTTGCTGCATTCTTGATCCTGGTGTGACTTCCTGGGAGCAGTGCCAAGGTCAAGCAAATCATTATTTGCTATTAATGATATTATGAAGATTGTATGCTCTTAAATTTATCTTCTTTCTTTTGAACTTGTCTTTGTCTTCCTTTGGTTTTGACCATAAGCTTTTTGGAAGAAGGATGATATTTTTCAGTGTTTGGAAAAGGGCCAGATTCTGCAGACAGGCCCTCACACCCGCTCTCACCAGAAGGACAAATACTGGTTTTGCAGACATCTGAAATGCTGCTTTCCTCTCCCCAGGGAGCAGTTTGTTCTTCTCAAGCTGTCACAAACACCACAAGGCCCCTCATCCCCTCCTACAGCACAGCTCCTAGCTGCCTTTCCGCTGCCGCTGAGCCGTCATGTTTGCATCCCAATTAATTTGTTCATCATGCCTTCTTCTAATTCCAGCACCACTCTGTGCAAGTCCAAGTCTACTTCCCACACCCTGCCTAAACCTTTCCTCTTACCCACCTTGGTCCCCACTGCAAGCAGCCCAGCCCCACAGCCAGATCTAGCACCTGAGCACCATCTTCCCCCCTTTAGGTCCAGAGTCTGGCTTGGTCTTACAGATTCCTGCTGCATGGTACGTGTAAGGTGCAATGTTCTTACACATTCAGCCATAAAAACCTCACCAACAACACATCTCCCATGCAATACAGCTTTGACTTACAGACTCAGTCTCATTGCTCATCTCCTTTCAGACACTGCACCATGGATCACCATGTCACCCACCCATGGGTTACAAACACAGCAGATCCCCTTGGCAGAGCCGCAGTCTATCACAGCTTTATCGCTCACCGACTCCCAGCTCCAGGCAGACACATTGCCGGTTCACAGACAGACACTTGATTTTCCCTATTGCTGCCTCCAGGTTGGCTGAATTTCTCACAGCAGATATTTTCAAACAGCCCTTTAGGCTGGAAGGCTCCATGCCTGCCTGCACTGTTATCCATTCCAAAACATCAGCAGAGAAATTTGACTTTTCCTGCAACCAGGGAAATGATCTTTACTACAAGAAAAAGAGATGACGGTGTCCTGCTGAAACGCGATTTAAAGAACACACAGAAGAAGGAAACACACCAAGTGCATGTGCTTGAGTATAATTTTCCTAATGCATCTATTGTTGTTAGGGGTGGTGGCTCCACAGTTTTCCATATAACAAGCACTACTCGAAAAACTTTCTCCTCCTTTTTCCTAGAAGTCTTTGACAGTTTGCCATTTTTCTCAGAGGTCTGTAATTATTTTTTTGTACCTCCTGCATTTGCAGTACATTAAATCTCTCATTAGTTGCTTATTCACTAGGAATTGGAGATGATTATCACTTTGCCGCTTTGATTTTTTTTCCTTTGATATGATAATTTACTGCCCAGATATTATCAATAGGAAGGCAAGGCAGCAGATTGAGTGTCCTGGCTGTAATTGAGGCAAGATTTGTGGCTCTCCTTCCAACTCCTCGGCATCAATCTGCCTGCACTTGTGCTGCGGGGGGAAGCAAGGCCTCATGCCAGGGCATTGCCGCAAGCCGGGATGTGCAAAGTCCCTGTAGCCCACTCAGGGAGGGCAGGCAAAGGAGGTCTTGTTCTTAAACCTGGATGCCCGTTGCTCTTGGAATCTGTTCAGTAGCGGAATGGCACAAGCAGTAGTCAAAGCTTGAATTTTATGTCTTGCTATAATTTTCTTGTCACACCATAAAAAAGGTTGATAGTGTGTACCTGAGGGAGGAAAGGAGAGCTTTTTTCTCATTACGTTCTATATTAATTATTATTAAGCAAAGGCTAGAGCATCCTCTCTGCCAGCAGCCACCATCAGAGCCACAGCTGAGCAGAGGAGCAGCACCAGGTGCTGCTTGTCAATTCCTCAAGCAGAACAGCCACCTCTGTGCCTGCAGCCAGCACCTGCAGAATTCTGCCACTGCCCCCTGTAGTTCAGCTCTGAGGAATCATTAGGGCAAAATCATCCCCAGGCATGAAATAGCAAATGAATATCTCTGACAGAAGTATGCAGTGAGAAGCCCTCCCTTGCTAACACCCACAAGAACATTTTGCTCATTTTGTGTTTGTTTCCACTCTGCACTATAAGCAATCACCACCTGCTTTCAGGCTTTGTCGTGCAGTTTAACGCATAATTCAGGGCATTATATGTTGATGTTTAGCTACACCCAGGTCATCTCCTTTCAGCTGGGAGAGAACTTCATTCTCTGTTCTTTGCTATTGAGAATGGAAAAACCATTCAACATCAGGCGGACTGACACTTCCCTTGGAAATATTCAGGAGGTGGGTGGAACACCGAAGCCCAATTGCTGTCTTGGCCACCATTTTCCTTTACACAGCACAGAATTAACAAAAGCATGTAAGGGGAAAAAGTGTTGTCAAGCTCCCCAGACCTATAAACCTACCCTCAACACAGAGAAGGTTAAACTGAAGGGGGGAAGGACACAGACAGGTCACTTGCCCACCTGCAGAAGGGCCGAAGCTGTGTCTGCACCTCCAGCACCAGCACCCACAGGCAGGATTCTGGTGCACAGATCCAGCTGTAGGATCTTCTCCAACTTCTCTGCCTTTATAAATAACATCTGGAGACCAAGGAATGTGTTTGTGCAGTGCTTCAGTAGTACACAGTTTCTGAATGTGTGTGAAGATAAATACATGTGTTAACTAGCAAGTATTGATTTTAGAAGGAATTAGGTATATAAACACTTCTAAAATCTGGCTTCAGCTGCAGGGTGTAGCAATGCTGGATGCATAATATTTAGCAGTGCAAAGTGGCTGCTGGTTCCTTATCACCCTGAGGACACGGAGACGATTAAAGATTATCTCAGAAACTGTTTCATTCTGAGCCTATCTGCTCTGCAAGGTTTCTTCCACCCACATCCTCCCCAGCTGCCAAACGCAGACACCCACAGTGGGCAGGGGCTGGTTGTCATGGCTTAGGAGTTCAGCATTTGAATGAAGCAATAGTAAAATTCTTCAGTCATCTGCATCTTATTCAAGCCCCCTGAGAGCAGCATGGAGCCGGCCACAGGCTTTGCTTTCTGCTGCTGGGACAGCACTATAGGAGCTTGGGGCTGTCCTGCACCTGATAGTTCCAAGGTGTTTGGAAACTCAGCAGAATGAAGTGCTGGGTGATGGGCAATGTAATCTACCTTTTCGTAGCCTTTAGGGAAGGAAGTAGTACTGGTACAGTTATGATAAAAGGTTCCCTTCGGCAAAAGAACCATAAAATGAGGGAAAGATAAACCCTCTGTCAGCTCAGTAGTGTGTTCACTTTTTCTGATCAGTATTTTCTTTTTTTTTTTTTTTTTTTTTTCTGAATTCCACCCCAAAATGCATAAACTTGGGCCAAAGGTTTTGGAAGTTATTTTATCCTGGAACAGGATTTGGTCCTGTGAACTGTTATAGCAGCTCTGTTTGCTTCATATGTATATAAAACCCACTGCTCTTGCTGTCTGCACAGGGGCAAGTCCTGCTCACTTTCTTTTGACCCTTCTTTCCGCAGCAAGCATCATTCTTAGGCCCTCAATTTTCTACTGAACAGTATATTGGCAGCCCAGGACCAGATAGGACCAGGAAAGCTTGGAGGCTTCTACCATAGCCAAGATGGAGTAAGGCATGACCATTGCAGTGAGCTGAAGCATGATGCAGGGCCTGCCCTGGGGCTTCTGTGTGTACAGGGAGTGCTGTATGCTAACAGTGCCATTCTTCTGAATAGTGAAGGGAAAAACAAAGCCACATAGCTTGCAAGCTTCAACAGAACAAAAGAACCCATCCTGAAGCAGTTAGGCTGAAGGCTCTTTGACACATGACTGAGGCAGTGAAAGGAAAGCCTTCTGATATTTAGAGCGCCAAACAAAAATTAAGGCTATTGAAAGCTGTGGGAGTTCAGCACTTCTGAAAAATGATTGTTTTGTTGTAGGTAGAATTGTTGCATTAATACACAGCCCTAAGGCCCGCATTCTGACAGCCTGTAACTACACCCTGCGTGCTCCCAGTCCTACCACCCTCAGAGCCATTCTGCACTGGGCTGGGCGCTGTGTGCTGAGCTGGTGATGGGGGCAGCCCCATGGCTTTCATGGAGCTGTGGGCAAGCAACAGGGGTGCCGGGGCCCATTCCCTCCTGGCAGGGCTCTATTGACAGCCAGAGAGCACCGCACCTTCATGAGCACTGCTGTGTCGTATGGTCACATTCCCAAAAAATAATTAAAAGTGGGGTTAAACACCAGCAGGCTGATCCTGCCACTCAGCAAAATAGCTGGCAGCAGCAGCACCACGCTGCTTGGCTACCGTGGAAATTAATATCATGCACTCCTCAAAACCCTCTGAAAATGTAAAGGCTTGATAATTTCTCATTCTGCTTTTGCTTCTTTCAGTTGCATTAGATTTCAGTGTGTAACAGCTGTAAACTCTACAATTGCATTACAAGATGGTGATTACTATTTGATAAAATATTTATCAAAGAAAAGCATTAAACCAGCAGCTCTTTGGCAGTATTCCCCTTGAAAACAAAGAAAGGCAAAACAGAATTATTAATTAACAATAATAGAGTTCTCATGAGAATAGAAACCACATTTTTTTTCTGAAATCCTATTTGTTCTGTGTCCTATAAACTTAAATTTTAAGAGAAATGTTTTTATAGCAAGCTTAAAGTGAATTGTGGCTTACATTTATGAGGCATAAAAATTAATAGACTTTTTTTACGAGTGCCTTTGTATGCTCAGTTGCAGGAATTTTTGCATCGTTTTATTGTAGAGATGGAAACAATTAAGTGCACAGTGCTACGTCTGAGCTCGCAGCAAGGATAGGGCTGTGGCAGGAGATGGCCTGCAGGACTGACACTGTGCTGGGAGGCAGGCACAGCTGGTGTTGGAGGTGGCAGCAGTTTTCCTGCCCACAGCCACCACTGCAGGTGCAGGAGAGCCTAGGAGGTCTTAATTACAAACAGTGAGATGAACTCAGCATACTGGTGCTTGCTGAGCGGTTCCTATCTGCAGCAAGACCCAAACTTTATGGCAAAGGCCTGAGGATTAACTCCTGTTCTCATTCTTCCCTACAGCAGCACTATGCCTGCAGTAGGGCACTGATACTGGGTTATCTGTTGTTCCATACAGTGCATTTCAGCTCTCACCTAGATGCTTTTCGAAGCCATCTGTTACAATAACCAACCATTTTTGCTTCAGTACTAACTTCCATAAAGTCATGAGTGTTTTGAAGAGCAGTAAGCAATTTCTACAGTGTTTTGAATAATGGTAGTTATTGAAGTAGAAAACTAAACTGTTTCAGAACATGTTAATATTCTATTGCAATATCTTTTCCTTGGTTTGTTGATTTTGTGTGTGTGTGTGTTTTCTTTTTTCATGGACTTTTATGAAACAACAATGCCTTCTGATTATCTAATTCTCTAAAACAAAAAACACAGTCACTCTGAGCTGGCCAGTGTGTGCTGCAGTGGATGGGGAGAAGCAGGCAAACCAGGGGCCCAGGGAAGGATCTCTGCACATGTAACTGTGTCAGTGTTGTGCAACTCGGTGCGAGTCCTAATAGCAGTTAATCAAAGGCAGCTTTACAGAGGTGAAGAAATATCAGTGAGCATACATACAAAATGAAGTCACCAGGTGTTTTGATGGTAACAGGCCACAGCCTCTACTGGCACTCCTTCCAGGAATTATGTTCACAAATTGGCCACCTTCTCTGTCTCTAGGGAGAATTGGGAAGGGAGGACGTGCTGCGATGTGCCTGCTGCCTCTGCTGCTTTGCAGAAGGGGGAGAGGGAAGGCAACAGGCACTGCAGCCACTCTGCTTTACTTTTGCAACAAAAGTACTGCTTTTTCTAGCAGTGACATTCTGTGTTGTTTTGTTGTTGTTGTTGTTGTCTTTTTTTTTTTTTTGCAACAAAAATTTGAAAGTTAATCATTTTTCTACTAATTTTAAAACAATGCCTCTGCTTCGTCAAAACAATAGAAATGCTCCGCTCACCATCCCTCACTTGCAGAAGCATCACTGGATTCTGTGTGTTTATTTTCTTCCCAACAAATCCCCAATTTTGTTTTCATCATTAATTATCCTGCCCTGTTTTTAGTTTTTCTTTCTCTATCCTGCATCAAGTTGTCCACACACATTTTTGCTATCTTTCTGGCAGACTCTAATCTCAAGAGAAGTCTCAGTAATTGTTTTCAGTGTATGGATGTTGATACCTTCCTGCAAACTCTGATTTGAATTAACGCTGCTTCTGCATTCCTTTGTTAAGTGTCAGAAGTCCAACATCAACTGATTATTGCAAGCACAATTCTAGCTCTGGTTACAAACAAACTGCCTGAATCCCTGCCGACACCAAACAGACCCATCCAAAGCCTGGCCATGGGAAGATCTAAGGCAGGAGCTGTGTTGTTTCACAGTCAGACCCACACAAAAGTGGATGTCCAAGACAGCATTCAGAAATATCTGCCTTAAAATTTACCAAGATAAGTCATGCTGCCTTAAGCAATTTTCCAATAATGAATGTCTTACAAATTTAAGTCCACACACCAAGTGCCCCAACACTGCCCATCTGCTGAATTGCAGAGGAAATGTCCTGCCCCCATCTTTGACACTTCCAGGCATGTTCTTGGCTTGGCTGCATTGCCTGTGCAAAACATGGCATTTGCTTTTCTTCTGTCCCAGTGCAATATTCAGCTTAACAGGTTACAGAAAAAGGCACCACACAAAGAGAAGATTAAGTTGTTGGAAATTTCATCCTGCTTTTTCCTAACTTGGGTGGCACTGAACACTCCCTGAGCACGTAATACCGTGTAAGGCAGAAAATACTGTCAGTGCTCCAACTTGCCCATAGGGCACTTCATGAAACAGAATGTGATACCAGCCCTCCTTTCTCTGTTGCCCCTCATTTAAAACACAAAGTGAAGCCTGAAATCTGCCTTTAAAAGGTGATTTTGCCAGCTGTGATCAGTACGTGCCATTTGTGCGTGCACACTGCCATGCACAGCTCTGGTTGTGCCAGAGGAAGTGTTTGTCTAAGCAGCTGCTGGGCGCTGGGGCCGGGGCACACAGGAGGATGTGGAGACACACACGTAGGGCAAACAAACACAGGTATACAGCGGTGCCCAGCACAGCTCTGACGCTGCGCTGGGCCGGAGGCCAGGCAGGGATGTTCTTGAGGAGCATGGTGCCCAGGGCTGGGAGCAGAGCCCTTGCTGATCTCCCACCTGTAACTTGGAGGAGTCCTTGCGGCTCACACGCGGGAAAAGCAATTCACGGCAGAGCACATCCAGACAGCTCACTGGCTGCCCTGAGCTCTGCAGCCAAGGCAGACGCGTTCGTTTGCCCCAAGCAGTCAGGGCAGGAGGGACACGGCAGGCCGCGGGCCCGGCCCAACGCCAGCCCCAGGCGGGCAGGTCATGGCGGCCAGCGGGATGCATCCTGCACCGCATGCGGCTCCTCCAGACACTCCCGGCCGCAGCGGGAGGACAGCGTACGTGTCCAGCCAGGGCTGGTGTCTGCTCAAGGACTGCTGAAGGTACACATTTGTTTCAGTAACAGCGATCTTGGCAGGCGAGGGAGGCAGCTCCAGCAGGCTTTTATAGATGTACATATTTTGGACTCCCACTGAGAGTTATTAGTTATTAAAAAGCGATCAAATGAGGCTGGTTTTGGAGTACGTTTGTTAGCCATATGATATCAATTAAGCTCCAGTCTCCTGACTGCAAGGAATTGACATTACCTCATACATACGCAGAATTAAATTCCTCCTCCTCCTCTCCCCCTCTTTGAAGCTGGTAATGCCAAATATCTCCTGCATTCCAGAGGAAAATGCTGCAGTTATCCTGAATATGTGGATGCCTTCAATTTGTAATTAATAGAGCTCCATAGGAAATGCTTTTGCCGGAATATGCAGCAGCTGTAAAGGGTTTGCTTGGCTGTATGGCACTGAGAAACGTATTTATGCACCGAGCACAGTGGGGCCAATACAGAGAGCATCTGGCCCTGGGCTGCAGGAGGATGCACCAGGAGATGTTATATTGCTTGTTATTGGAGAAAGTAGGGATTTTCTGTACTTGTTTTTATCAAGATTAGCCATTTAATGCCAATAGTGTAACTGAAGACTAAAACAGGGAGCATACTTTTGTTGGACAAACTGGCAGAGCTTTTGTGTCTATAGTACTTTTCAAATATGTACACTCAACTGTTCCAGCAGGGTACAAAATTAAAAAGTTGCCAAATGAATTGATGTTAATTTATGCCAGACTAACTTCTCTCTTGTCCATTAATATAAAAAGAGACACACCCACTATCAATGGCAACAGATGAAAACTTTTTTTCATAGTTATTTCAAACCTACTGATATTTATGATTGAGAAGACTACTGCTTGCTATAAAACATTCCAGTTGAAAACATGAATATTCAAGGTTATGAACAAAAGCAGACTTGATAAGAGCAACAAAGTACTGTGAAACATTTTTGTAATGTGGTAAAGAAGTAGCATTCTGCACATAAACCTGTATATCTGACATGTTTTATACCTTTATATATATATATATATGTGTATACATATATTTGCATGTTTAAAATATACACATGTATATATATAAATAATATGCATAAGCATGTGAATAAATGAATTGGTGTTAGAGATTATGGAGTTTCATCTCTCCAGTATGGTTACAGCAATTTCATTAATTTATTCTGTTCCTATGGCTTGAGATGACTTATTGCCAAGATAACACACCACAGGGGAACTCTTACAGAATTTTGGACTGATTTACCACACCACAGATAAGACTTACCATTATACAGCAGACTCATTATTTCGGTCAGCTAGGAGCAGGGTTCGAACAACAGATTCGGGATTTGTATTTAGCTGTACATGGATCTGTTGTTGGTAAAACAGTTATTTTCCACAGTCAAAGAAAAGAACTGTTTGCATATCATACCTTTCAGAGGCCTTTCAGAGGATGGAGGGATTTTTCATCTCCTTGAGGTCCAGTTCAAGGGCTGAGGTGATATTTATGGCTTTGATAGGGTTTCAGGCAGTTGGATGAAAGCCAAAGATAAGTCATACCCAGTTGAAAGGATCCAGCTGTAGAACAGAGCACCAAGACTGGACAAATCAGGAGTCTGGGTGTTCCTGACTTCTCCTATAAAAACCTTTTCTTAAAAAAAAAAAAAAAAGCCAAACAAAAACCCTATTTCCACTATAACTCACAACTGTCTACCTGCACTGTCTCCATATTATATTCATGGGAGCAGATGACTCCATCTCAAAACTGGTACAGTGGAAGGCTTCAACTCTTAGCTGTAGTGCCCTGTCTCTCAGAAACTGGCACATGAGCACAGCAGATAAGTCTTCCTGATTTCCCACTGTCAGAGAAATATTAAGGAGGAGCGTTCTCCTGAGGAGTAGAGATGATGTTCAAACACATCAGCAGTGCTCAAGGAAGCAGTGAAAAATGCCATCCCCCAGTGCTGCAGCATTGCAAACTCAAGTGATGAAAACCATTAAGGAGTCAATAGGTCAAGTAATGGTGTCAACAAAAAGTAGCTTTCCACAAAGACGTGTACATCTACCCCAGCTCAATTCCTTACTATATTATTTCAATTTCAGGGTTTCCTGCTCCTGACACAAGCCCTTTCAGGGTCTACTTTTGCATTATATTTTTGTCTGGCATTCAAAAGTCTCTGCCATCAGTCTGGGCTCTCCTTCCTGATCACATCTCGGCTTCCTCATTTGTTACCTACATGTCTTTGACTGCTAGCAGGGCTTACAGTGACAAGAACAGCCTTCATGCAATGCCTTCAGCACTTCCTGAGTGCTGTAATACCATGCACTCACCAAACAGATGTGTGTAATCAATGTGCCTGCCACTCACTGACAAAATAGAGCTGAATTCATGATGTCCAAATAGCTTTATGTTTGACATTTCTGAACTTTGGAGTGCTTGATTTTCTAAAGTAATTTCTTCTCGGTGAAAAAGAGCTTGAAGAGCAAGAATATTTGTCACCCAGGAGAGGTTTTTACAAAGTATTCCTGGCCAAACTCAGGAACAAGCATTGCCCCAAAATGCGCTGCCCATCAGTGTCCAGGGCTTGTGGGAATCCAGTCAGTGCAGGAACTGTGCTATGTTTCTTCTGCTGATGCTCACCGAGCATGAGAAATTGCTTGCAAACCACCGAGTCTGAAAATGCTCTGCATAACTTCAAACTTTTCCACTGGTGTAAGTCTGGCAGTTTTTCCAGCACTGTGCCAGAGGATATTTCTAGAATGGAAGCACCCATATAAGAGAAATATTGAGAGTTTTATTGCAACCCAGACTGAGTGGTTGATTGCTGTTGCAGACAGTATAGAGCAGAACTTGGAGACCTCCAAGAAGAAAATAAAACTCAGTGGTGACATGTTAAGTTTGTAATTTGGGGCAGGCACAAACACAAGGGCACATTCAGCTGCATAAATAATGGCAGACAAGAAAAGAATGGGATGAGCTTTATCCCTTCTCCCTGGATCAGAACAAGGAATTCTGCATGAAGGAACAAACAGATCTTAACATCATTAAAGATTTACTACTGATTTCCAAAAAAAGAGTTGCACAGCATGTGCACAACCTATTAACTCATTGCCACATGTTATCATTGCAATCAAATAGCTTAATAGGATTCACAGACAAATTAGGCATATCCATGGAAAACGAGAATATCAGATGGCCCTGGATGAGGTAAATACATTTTAAAAGATATAAACACTCATATTTCAGGGCAGACTCGTGAGATTGCAGAAAAAAAAGTCCTCCAGTGGGCAGGTTCTAGCATTATAGAGACATCGTCTGATGCCTGGAGTTCAGGCCACTATCAAAGACCTGATAATGCATGAAACAGATTATAGAAGGGATTCATATTGCATTTTACTGTGTCTTCTTAACATTTCTGTCTGTGAAAAAAATAGTATTTGCTATGCTTGAAGTACACACAAGAATTTTTGGCTGCTTACCCACATCAATGTAAAATTGCACAATTTGCCTTGGGTTTTGCTCTGGCATTATCCTGTTTGCACCAGGCGCCTCTCAGCTGCTTCCAGACAAGAATTCCTGATGCTCTAGAGTGAGCTGATGGTGAAACAGTGCACACTGAGCCTTGAAGCTCTGCTTAACCAATAAACAGTTCAGCAAATTACTACTAGTATCTCGAATTTCTAAAGGCATTAATCTGCAGCCAAACTTTATTGTTATTACATTATCTTTTAATAATCTTGCAACAACACCCAAATTTCAGTATTGTCAAGCCCATCTACTCACATGCTCTCAGTGGTCTCCCATGGGCTTTCAGCCCATTCCCCAGCAGTGCTGCAAGTCACTGGTGGGTCTGATTCACCGTAGCCTTTGTCTTGACCTTCTCAGCAAATGTCCTTTGATACTGGCACTGCCACCAGCCCATCTTAAGGAATTGTGGAAAGCAGAGATGGAGAACTGCATTGAGCCTTTAATTGTCCCTCCACTCCACCCTTCATCTTCTTTCTGGCACTCACAGCACCCAACCTGCCCCAGCCAGACAGTGCTGGGATGGCAGCATGCTGCCGCCCAGGAGAGTAGTGCTGGCGGGTTAAGGAATCCAACCTGGGGCCAGTTTGCCTTTGGCTGTTGGGAACGCTGCTGGAATGTTCCCAGATACCAGGTTCACCACTTGAGGAAGCACCAAGCAAGCTAAGGGTGGAAAGTAGAGAGAAGGGAGGGGAAATACAGACTTTTCCTTTTCCTTTTCCTTTTCCTTTTCCTTTTCCTTTTCCTTTTCCTTTTCCTTTTCCTTTTCCTTTTCCTTTTCCTTTTCCTTTTCCTTTTCCTTTTCCTTTTCCTTTTCCTTTTCCTTTTCCTTTTCCTTTCCCTTTCCCTTTCCCTTTTCCCTTTCCCTTTCCCTTTCCTTTCTTTTCTTTCATTATAAAAATCACAAATGTCAGCAAGAAAAAGTACTTGAGTTTTTCAGAAGCATAATTACATTTTTAAAGCTTGCCTTTTGGCCTCCTGGCCTTAATCCAACACCAGCTGAAGTCACTTGCCAACAGTGTGCTCAGGCTTTGATGTGAGTCAGTACTTTACCTAAAAACTCACAGTACAAAATTACCCAATAGATGTGTTTGTAATGAGTACCTTTCTATAAAACGTTGAGAAAATAAGCACTTACATTTTTAGGAGCATTTTAAATGTTTACTATAAAATTTTACTATGTATTAAACTTAATTACCCAAATTAAATTCTCAATTATTGTACCTGTGCATACTATTGTATGTTTTGCATCACTAGCACCAGATGGCATAGCTATTCATTTTTATTTACGAATTTTGATTGAATTGATTCTGTTTTCTACTGGTGGCAAATGAATGCTGGGACCTGGGTAACCTTTACCAGACACTGCACATGCACTGGGCAATGTGCACTGGGACTTTTTGTGAAGAAAGGCTGCAGTAATCGAAGAAATAGGACTGAAAAGTTCTGTCTGCTAGTACCTAATGTTGAATCAAAAGCAGATTTCCATTTTGGAGTCAAATCTTTTCTCAAAACCAGGTTTTCAGAGATGAAAACATTGCATCACCTTGGGGGAAAAAGGAAAGGATACAGTAAGAAATTTGCAAGCAATAAGCCAAGTTTGCCAAGTACACAACTGCTGACAATTAGTTTTATTTATGCATTATGGAACATCATCTACATTTTTTATATCAAGCAGATCAGCTTCCTCCCCCCATGCTCTGAGCTTCCACAATGTTAAACTACTGAAATGGGAAGTTACGCTCTTACTCTCATTCTTTGGATTTGAAAACTCTTTTCCTAAACATTGTTACACACAGCTGTTTTCTAGAAAGACTAACAATGAGCTCTGCTAGCCATGCAAACAATCCAAACATAATTTGGTGCAAAGAGACGCCCCTTTCAGAGATCACTTTATTTATTCTTTGTATTAAAAAGGAGCTGAAAAATCCAGGCATGAAATCATGTTTTCCAGCTATGCTTTTTGTCATATTTATGGTCTCTTTGGTAAAATCAAAGGAATGCACTTCTGTGTAATGGGGCATAGTTTGAATGGCACAGTAACCATCAAACCATAAAATTTGGAGTTGGGCTGCTTGATTACAAAAGCATGTCCTCACTTGAATCTGTGCACAGTGCAGCTGTTTAAATCACTGAAAGTTTAAAATTGGAGTCACTTGAGAACTAAAATTGCATGTGATGGCAAAATGGTAGAAAATATTAAGTCTAGGCTGCCAATTTCAGAGTAGTTTCGAGAAGTCTGAGAGTTCAGTGGTAAAATTATGGGATGTAGAGCATGCAGTACTCGTTAAACTCATTTTCTCTTATTTGCATCGTGAGATCTTGTGTCTTCACTGTGGGTCTCTTCGAACTTCAAACCAGGTCCCAACAAATGAGAATGGGGTCAGGAAGCTCTGAAAAATGAAGCCTATTACCTTCACTGCTTTTCTCCTCTTTCTGCTGTTGAACATGTATTACTCCACTGGACAAAATCTTACCAACCTTCTTTGGTTTAAAATGTCATAGGAAACAATCCTGGGTAAATTCCCTCTCAGGTTTTGCTACATGCTAATGCCATGATCGCCTTTCTTTTCCTTTTTGGTGAATGTGCCACAGAATGGCGGCCCAAAGACCTTCAGCCAGTGGCACTAGGTACCTCATGCCAATGTAGGACATTGAGGTATGGAGACGAAGCTCTTCTGTGACTACCAAGATGCATATGGTAGGCACCAAAGCAGAGTTTTCAACAACTCTCCCACCATTTTATATCCGGAAAAATCTCTTCTCAGAAAGAGTGCTTAGGCAGAGGCACAGGCTGCCGTGGAGGTGGTGGAGTCAGTGTCCCTGGAGGTTTGCAAGATAAGGTTAAATGTGGCACTGAGGTGCGTGCTTGAGAGAGCATGGTGGGAATGGGCTGACAGTTGCAGTAGATGATCTTGGTGGTCTTTTCCAACCTTGATGATTCTATGATTCTGTCATGCTGTGAGTTTCACGTTTAAGTTTAGGTGCACCATGGCTCAGCTGCACAAACAGTTGTGCTATGCAGCTGGTGAAGGAAACAGCCTCCAACAGTGAGCAGAGCAGGACCTCTGGCCACAGAGGATCCTGGGCTGACATGGCAGGGACCAC